TGTCTCCATCCCTCCCTGTCTCCATCCCTCCCTGTCTCCATCCCTCCATTGTCTACATCTGTCCATTGTCTCCATCCCTTCATTGTTTCCATCCCTCCATTGTCTCTTCATCCATTCTCTCCATTGCTGCCCTCCATAAATCACCATCTTCCCATCTTCTCACCTCTCCCTCTGTCTCCGTCATCGCTCCATCTCTCTCCTCCTTCTCCCTTTCTCCCTCTCCTCTCACCTTGTCTCTCCATCCTTTACTCCATCCTCCCTTCATCTCCACTATCCTTCTATCGCGCCATCTTGTCTCTCTATCCATCTCTGCCATCGCTCCATCTCTCCTCATCTTACCTCTCCCTCCATCTCTCTTCTCCCTCCTCCGCCATCCTTTCCCTTTATCTCATCTCTTCGACCTTCTCTCCATCCACTCTCATCACCCACTTGCGACCGAACAAAACGCGGGACAGCACACACCAATTCCGAGACACACACATGTGGACACGTGAAAACCCAGAGATATGCAAGTAGAGGCCCCCCAAAGCAGACACGTGTGTGGGCCAGCTTATTGCAACATTGGGAGAACAATCAGGCCTAGGCCACCAACATCTATGGCTATGGTAACTAGGGAAATGGAGCAAGACCTGAATGGCTAGCTGTAAGGGATAGTAACCCCTCTGGAATGGCCTGGAGCCTCCAGGAAATGAAGACATTTCATGAAAACAGTTAACATGAGCAAAAAACAGCAAACTTTGTGGAAAAAAAAATCATGTGGGACATTACAGTCATCGACAGACCCAGGGCAATACAGTCATAGAGTAATACAGCATGGAAACTGGCCCTTCGGCCCAAACTGGTCCATGCTGACTATGGCGCCCACTCAGCTAGTTCCAATTGCCTGCATTTGGTCCATATCCCTCTAAACCCTTCCCATCCGTGTACCCATCCTAATGTTTTTTGAATATTGCTATTGTACCTGCCTCAGTCACTTTCTCTGGCAGCCCATTCCATACACACACCACTCTCTGTGTGAAGAAGCTGCCCCTCAGGTCCTTCTTAAATCTTTCCCCACTCACCTTAAAATGCTGGAAGGACTCAGTTCAAATCTCACAGCTGATTAACTAATACATTCAATTGGTCAAGCAAAATATCTGGAATCTGAAAGCAGCTAGCAGTTACCCATAAAATTGTAAAATTTGGATTTTTCCTGTTCCTCAGAAAGCTTTGCACTGAAATGTCACAGAATTTATTACCGTACAGCAGGAGGCCATTCGGCCCATCATATCTACACCTGTCCTACTACCGTCAGGGAAGGTGATGGCCTAGGGGTATTATTGCTAGGCTATTAATTGAGAGACAGTAATGCTCTGGCGGACCCAGGTTCGAATCCTGCCGATGGTGGAATTTGAATTCAATTTTTAAAAATGTGGAATTAAGAATCTAATGATGACCATGAATCCACTGCTGCTTGTCAGAAAAACCCATCTGGTTCACTAATGCCCTTTAGGGAAGGAAACTGCTATCCTAACCTGGTCTGACCTACATGTGACTCCAGACCCACAGCAATGTGCCCTCTAAGCAATTGAAGAGAGGCAATAAACACTGGCCCACTTTCCATGAAAAAATAAAATTAAAAAAAGGAGGGTTTTGGTGGATTTTTTTTTTAAGATAAGCTTCTTGCTAACAGCCTTCAACAAAGCAGGTGGTTCTAAATGATTAAAGATGCGAACAAAGAGGTCTTTTTCCTGTACTTACTTCAGTCACCATAGTCAGCCCCAGCAGGTAGCTGAGTGTGCATGTTATAGCTATGAAGATTTCTCGTCTGTAACCCTTCCTTAGGAAGGATGGGTAAAGATCAACCAGGGAAGTAATCTGCCCCTCAACTTCCACAAACTGTCAGAGACAAGCCAGAGACAAAAAGCAACACATCAGACATTGCATTCAGAGCTCACATTCCCGACGGTCACACCTTCGTAAGCTTCTATTTCATCTGCTCTGTCACTCCGTGGGAGGAAAAGAACTTCAATGACTGGGTCCAGATTCAGGGGGGCTGGGAATTTGTGTCCTTAAAGCTGGATGCAAGGGATAATCTTGAGCACTGGCAGTTCAATCCCCTCCCAGTCTCCCTCTCCTCGTGGGCTCAATAGCCCTTGGTCGCTGAGACTATGTCCCCACTGCACACATCAGCCCCCCGACCCCGTCACCAACATTGCCCACTCAGATCATTAACCGCTGCAGTTCATACAGAGGCTGGAGGTATGGAATGCTGTCTGTAAGCAAAGAGGGTAGAGGAGAGGGAGGGAGGGAGAGTGGAGGAGAGGGAGGGAAGGCAGGGCGTGTGTGTGAGAGAGAGGGAGGAGTGGAGCAGAGGAGAGGAGAGGAGAGGGAGGGAAGGCAGGGCGTGTGTGTGAGAGAGAGAGAGAGGAGTGGAGCAGAGGAGAGGAGAGGAGAGGGAGGGTGGAGGAGAGGGAGGGAAGGCAGGGCGTGTGTGTGAGAGAGAGAGAGGAGTGGAGCAGAGGAGAGGAGAGGGAGGGAGGGAGAGTGGAGGAGAGGGAGGGAGGGCAGGGCGTGTGTGTGAGAGAGAGAGAGAGAGAGGAGTGGAGCAGAGGAGAGGAGAGGGAGGGAGAGAGAGTGGAGGAGAGGGAGGGAGGGAGAGTGGAGGAGAGGGAGGGAAGAAACAGGAGCAGGGCAGACAGAGGGCTGGAGGAATGGTGGAATATGACAGGGACAGCAAGGGGAGCAGTCGAGGATGTGGGAAAGGAGGGGTTACAGTGTATGTTGTATGGGAGTGGGGGGCACTGTCAGTTTGTCATTGCATCAAGCTGCTATGTGAGGAAAATAACAGACTGGGCTCTATATAAATGCACTTAGTACAAAAGTTGCAGCTTAATCTTAAACTGGAGCATTTAACATTTACAATCCTGTAACTCACTGGCAATGATAATAAATCACAAATTACTAACAGGAATTAAAATTTCATTTCAACTACAGCCAGTTTTGTCAAACTATTTAAAATCCAGATGATTTATCTCGCCACTGCGATTGGCTACAGCATGGGGCTAGATACAGAGTAAAGCTCCCTCTACACTGTGACCCCTGATCAAACACTCCCAGGACAGGGACAGCATGGGGTTAGATACAGAGTAAAGCTCCCTCTACACTGTGACTCCCATCAAACACTCCCAGGACAGGGACAGCATGGGGTTAGATACAGAGTAAAGCTCCCTCTACACTCTCCCCATCAAACACTCCCAGGACAGGGGCAGCACGGGGTTAGATACAGAGTAAAGCTCCCATAACACTGTCCCATCACTCCCAGGACAGGGACAGCACGGGGTTAGATACAGAGTAAAGCTCCCTCTACACTGTCCCCATCAAACACTCCCAGGGACAGGGACAGCACGGGGTTAGATACAGAGTGAAGCTCCCTCTACACTGTCTCACCCTGCGAAATGTGGGTGCATTTTCCCAGTGCCTGAGTACAGTGAGGAAGCAAACTCTTTCCAATTAGGGCTCCAAAACCTAAGATGCCAGATGTCAAATGTTAGAGGACACAGCTGGAATGGATGAGCTGTATTTGCAGTGAGCAATCAATGAACACTGCACTGAGAGCAGGAGGTGTCTCTTCCTGATCTGTGTGTTATTAAACTGCACCTTTAAGTAAATATTATTTCCAGCCATGTGATTTACCAGTATTTGCATCTTTTGATCTCTGCGGCAGACGAGGAGATACAATCTGAATATTCATTGCACTCCATCAAGGGTAAACATGGAGGTGAATACTATCTGGAGGATTTTTATCTAGTACACACCTGTGCTGGTTACATATCAGGAAGAGATTACAACATGAAAAAGCAAGATGGGGTGAACACTAGCTGCTTCACCATCCTTCAGAGGCAGGTCAGGAGCTTAACGAACTCCCTACGTGCCCCTGGGGGTCACCTGCCCCCATTTGGGGTATCAGCTGCCCCTTCAATGCTGCTCTCGCTGAGTTCAGTGAGGAGCCCCGGGGCGGGGGCAGAGGGAAGGGATGGGATATTTGGCCGCAGTGACCATCACAGGTGAGCCTTCTCACGCGCAGCACACAATCCTGCCCTGAGCAGCCAGATTTGGGGTCCACACATGACACAAACAAAGTCAAATCATTGTTCCCACCCTCAGGAAAAAAAACACAAAGCCAACAGGAGTTAACAATCACTTACCTGTTTGCACAAATTAAACAGGATGTGATGCACAAATATTAACTCACATATCAAATGTCTCGGCCAACTGCCAGGTCTCTATGGTACAAAAACCCTCAGACCTCCCAGATAAACACAACAAGCTTTTACTGTATTTTTAATTAAGGAAACTGTGCCTCCAATTTGAGTTTGTAAAAAAGCTCCCATCTCCCTCTGTCTTACTGAGAACCAACAGAAGATGGATGAGATTCTCCTGACTCAGCCCCTTGGCCCCTCAATGTAAAAGAAACTCCCTTTTAAAAAAGGTTTAAGGTTTCCCTTGCAAATCTTATCAGAAGACAGTAGAGGTGGGAGAGGGGTTCTGATCAGAGCTTATTATTTTGCCATTGGTTTGTTGAAAAGAGATTTAAACAAAAAATGTCACCGTGGAGTTTATGGGCAAGCGGGAACATGTAGCCGTGTACAATCGAACTGACCAAGCCATGTATGTTTCATGTTTGTGAGCACAGGTAATCCTATATGGAGGTGTGTTCCACCTATTGCACACTGGCAGGATCAGAAGCATACACACGTCGAGTTGACTACTTGCACACGTGTGTCCGAATGCACACGCATGCATGTATGAACTTATGAAGGACATCCATGAGCACATGGTCAGGCATGTGTGTGAGAGAGTGAGCTTGTGTGCGGGTCTGGGCACATGACAGCCCAGAGACATGCGTGTGGGCACACGCCAAACCAGACACGCGTGTGGGAACACACACGACCCAGAGAAACGCGGGAGAGCACACGCAGACTCAGAGACACGTGCGTGGGTGCATGACAGCCCAGAGATGTGCGTGTGGGCACACGCCATACCCGACCCAGAGAAACGCGCGAGAGCACACGCAGACTCAGAGACATGCGCGTGGGCACATGACAGCCCAGAGATGTGCGTGTGGGCACACGCCAAACCAGACACATGTGTGGGAACACACACGACCCAGAGAAACGCGGGAGAGCACACGCAGACCCTAGAAAACACACGTGTAGGAACACACAGAGGCAAAGACGTGCATGTGGGTGCTTCCAGGACCAGACACATGCACGGGAACACACATGACCCACAGAAACACACGCAGAGCTAGAGAAACGCCTGTGGTTCACCACAGTGCATCCTCAGTTTGTTGGTCTAGTTGTTACAATCTTTGGGACAAGATTTCACACCAGCATTTCCATGACTGGTGGGAGGTATAAGCAGACCCGCTGTTGCACTGACAGTAAGTGGCAGAGTTTACCAGTCGTTTGTGGGAGAGAGGGATTGTCGCTGAGGACTGTTCCAACATTCCTCAGCAAGCTGGTGGCCTGGGCTGGAATCACACTGTGACCCAGATACCCCAATGATTACGTCCAATGGCAAAACGGGGTAAATACCAAAACACGGGTGCACGCTCCCCACCCCCTGGGTTTAGGGAGCTGGAGAAAGATCCACCATCATGAAAAAAAATCCCCAGTGGAAAATGCAGCTGGAAAGTGAAGTATAGGTAACCCTCTCTCCCATTGGTTATAATCAAGCTGAGACTGAGAGAGAGAGAGAGAGAGAGAGAGAGGGAGAGCATTAGAGACAGATAGAGAGAGAGAGAGAGAGAGAGTGAGAGAGAGAAGGAGGTGGTGGGTATGGGGGAAGAATTGTAACCCCCTCCACCTGCCAGAAAACAAAAATCCCACCCTCCCCACCCCCAGTCCCTGCACATCCCTGGCCCAGAGAGCTGCTTATTGCTTGTGATCTCAGACACATGACCCCCTGGAGTTCAAACTGACCTGACTGTCCAATCCGAGAAGAAGGAGCATTACGAAAAACAAGATAGCCCAGAAGGTAGGCCAAGGCATCATGCTCACAGCTTTAGGGTAAGCGATGAATGCCAAACCGGGACCTAAAAGGAGGCAAATGCAGAGAGATGGGGTGGAGGTGTGGGGAGGGGGGTTTCGGTGGTGGGGGGGTGGAAGGGGGTTGGGGAATAAGGGGCAGGAAGTGAGGAGAGGAGGGGGACAAGAGGCACTAAATGATCATGTAATTTCACATCACAAAAATATACACAGGTACGTTATATCACAGCAGTTACTCTTAAACAAAGCTAGCATGCGAATCAACGTTTCAAAACGCCCTTTCCTTTCACATTTGCAATGGGAAAACTGCTTAAAACCAATAATGGATATGCCCCATTTCACCACCAACTCCCTGGTCACTTAACCAGCAGCAGATGGGCTGAATTGCCTACGGTGTAAAAATTCCATGGCTTTCCAACGCATGTTACTGCCCATTGAGGACAAGAAGAGATTATAAACATTCTTCTTTCTCAGGATAATATAACTCAGATTAAAGATCTCAGTGCAATGGTGTTAAAGTCATTTATTTGTCCCTTATTTCGAACTGCCTGGAAAATTGTTAAAATTGCTTCTCAGGTCAAGAACATTCCAGAAACTCGCAAGGAATGTGGGTTTGAGAACAAGTCCAGCTTATTGCACAGTGCCACAGAAAATGACCAGAGGCAGCTGACTGTTTTCCACATTTACAGAATGCAAAAGGCTTTCGGAGTTTACAGTTCCTGGCCTAGACTTTCCAAATTGTCCACATAGACACTGAATAAAACAGGGCCACCAGAGTCAAGGAACCCAGTGTCTCCGTAACCCTTTCTCCTGGAGCTGCACAACATCAGAAACTGGCTCACCACAGGATGGAGGGAGCACTGGATGGGAATGGGACAGTGATGGAGGGGTACAGGATGGTGATGTGGGAAGGGTACAGGATGGTGATGTGGGAGGGGTACAGGATGGTGATGTGGGAGGGGTACAGGATGGTGATGTGGGAAGGGTACAGGATGGTGATGTGGGAAGGGTACAGGACGGTGATGTGGGAAGGGTACAGGATGGTGATCTGGGAGGGGTACAGGATGGTGATGTGGGAGGGGTACAGGATGGTGATCTGGGAGGGGTACAGGATGGTGATGTGGGAGGGGTATGGAATGGGGATGGGAAAAGGATGGTGATAGGGGAAGGGATAGTGATGGAGGAGGGGATAGTGATGGAGGAGCGGATAGTGTTGAGGGAGGGGAATGGGATAGTGATGGGGGAGGGGATAATG